AAACTCTGTATTTTAATAATGAAATGGAGATCTTTTTTAAAGGTTAAAACCTCATTTAATTTTATGTCTTATAGGGTTTATACTCAGTACAATATTGTATAACTGTATTAATTCAACTGTAAACCTAAAATTTTACAGCCAGTTTTGAAAGACATGCATTTTAACTCTGGAAGTTGTTATTGACTATGTCAATGCTGTTGTAATGAAATGCTTCTTCTAAGTATGTGTTATTAGGTTCAATAGCAAACCTAAAAGTTTTATAGCCACTTTTGAATGAGATGTATCTTTGCTCTGGAAACCATTATTGAGTATGTTAAAGCTGTAATGAAGTGCTTCTTCTAAAAAAAAATCTTGATTAAAAAATAAATAAAATATATTTTAAAATGTAGACTTCTAGAAAGTTTCATAGCAGAGGAGTCTGGACTTAGTAAGAGGCCACCACCAACAGGTGAATGGCTTGGGTGGGAGTGCAGTCTCTGAGGCTATGGAAAAGATTTGTTCTTTTCTGTACAGAGACTGTTACATGAAGGCCCACCAGAGGCGTTTCAGACACTTTCATGGTGTGGATTCTGTCCCTAGTCCTGGCAACCTGGCACATGGTTTTGATAGACAGAAGGTTCAAGTCCTGGTCCCTGCACTTTCTAGGATGATCTTGGGCATGCCAGTTTCATCGTCTGCAGACTGAAGTATAACACTTCCCTGCAATGGCTGTTCTGAGAATGACCAGTTAACAGTGCACACATATGCACATATACCTACATAGATATTTTTTTCTAAAGGTCCATATTTAGATAACAAATGCTAAATTCTTGCATATGCTTTGACACTAGAACTTTGCACCCTGGGGCCTCTTGCAATTTGTGTTAACCTTTTAAAGACATTTCTTTGACAGCCCCTTCTCCCTGCCTGTCTTGTTTATTCATGTCCAGTCCTGCTGTCCCAGCAGCTGTTCTTAGCTCTACCATTGAAGCGTCCTTGCAACCTTCACTTTCATCTTGGTAGAGCTAAGCTAAAGGACTTTTCCAGGATGGTGGCTGGGGCAAACATGCAAAGTGGACTGAAGGGTAGCAATGTCGCTTTGGGACCTCTCTCCTCCACGATGTACCATGACACCCTTTAAAAAAAACCACAGGATCGTGTTTGAGAAAAGTTAAGCTGTTTTATTTCACAGGATAGCTCCACGTCAAACCAGCAGGCACCATCAGAATACGCAACAGAGGATCCAGTCAGACACTCTATAGGACGGGCGTTTGATCTTAAGGTAGAGAAATGATACCCAGAAGAGGGCAACAGTTAGCATCACGTGGGGACAGGCAACCAGCAATTTCCTAGGGTGGTTTCTGTTTGTTTTTCCTGTCACAATTTGAGGGAAGAAGCAAAGCAAAGGAAACAAAATAGACCAGCCACTCTGAAGCAATCAGAAGCAAACCTATTGCCAAACCATGTAAACAGTCACACTGCCTGGAACGAGGGCCTGGGTAGCAGAGCTAGCCAGGACCCACTTCCGTCTAGGGAAGGAAAGTGCACTCTGGCGGTTCCGGTTCAAGGAACAGCTTTGTTATTTGCCTGGGACAGTTCACACAGAAAGGAGGTGTCAGCAAAGGGCAGCGATGAGCATTTGGCCAGTCCCAGAGGGTGGGACAACAGGACGCTGGCAGATCAAACCCAGAGAGGCCAGGAGGTCTCAGATTGACAGTGAAGTCCCTCCTGGCAGCTCTCCTGGGTAGCTTTGGGTATGTGGAATTCTCTGCTTAGAATTCTGCTCATCGGAGAAGAGACCCCAGAGAATCAGGGACACGGACATGAACTGTCAGCATTAGCTCTGCATAGCAGAAAAATCAGCTAAGCAACACCTCAGCTTGCTTGCCCCTTTCTGCCTTTTCCTCCCTGCCACATCTTCCCTTCCAGCCCAGCAGGGCCCACGACCACTGCTGGAAGGGCCCCCCACTCTTCTTCCTGGGTTTCTCAGGAGATCGAGGCATTTGCTCTAGTGTGGAAGGATCTAGAAGGGTGAGAAGTTAGAAATAGAGAGGCTGAGAGGGAGGACCATTGTGTCAGTCCTTGGGTTTTCCATCAGCTGTTCCATGTGTGCACTGGCATCAATCAACCAGGTACCAGGTCACAAGACGTCCTCTGCATCTGTGCCTCCTGAATAAGAAAGAAATGCACCCAGCAAGGCACTCCAGGGGACGCCAGCAATGGAAGCCCTTGTGTGCAGGCTGCTTTCCTGTTGGCTCCCCTTTGTGTACCACAAACCAGTTTTAAGTGTTTATAAGGCAGATCTCTGAACTGCTGGCTCCAGTCAGTAGCCAATGGATGGTTCCATTTCCCTGGGTCTCTTCCCACTCTTTCTTCATTGGATAGAAACCTTTCGTTCCTTGGGAATCCTTTTCTCTCCTGACCCCTGGTTTAGTGACTTCAGAGAAAAGACTCCCCAGTCTAATTCCCAAGCCCACAATTCCCTCCAGCTGTGAGCTCTGTCCGGGGTTCAAAAGGCGCTTCAAGGTGAAAAATCGTTAGCACTGAAAACAAGGAAAGGCGAGAATTGTTCATAGACCCCCACAGCTCAGAGCAGCTCTTGACCAGGAAAAGGAGGAGGAAGGGCAGGGAAGGAAGAGGGGTCGGAAGCACGGTTCATTCTCAAATTGATCGGAGAAAGGTCTTTAGTGGCATCTGGGTCACAAGGTGCCCAGGAAACTAGACCAGGAATTGTCTTTGGTCAGTTTTAAATGAACATCTTGCTGGTTCATCCCTAAAACAGACTGAACATTGGTTATACATAAGACAAAACGCTTGACCTCGGGGTAAGTTAGAGGCTAAGAACTCATTCCATGAAGCCAAAAAATAAAAAATAAAAATGCCCGTTACCAACTAACTGATCAGTACAGCTTTCAATAATGTGATGAACAGTAGGTAGACACCACTTCCCCCTTGTACGCTTGGCTATATTGAGGACTACTAACTAGGTTACTACATTCCCCCCATACTCACTGTACAATTAGGTTTCTGGTATTTGTTTTTACATTGATCTATCTACTAGGCGCAAAGATTTGGTGAGTGGCGTTGGCTATAATTTAATTGTAGCCTTAAAAAAATTACAGTTTCACATTTTAACAGTTACTTTCCAGCATTTAAGCAAATACAGCAATATATAGTGGACTAAAACAGGCAAGAGTCAGAAGGAGAATGCCCACGCTCACTGGACATGGGACTGAGTTGGAGCTGGAGCGTGGCTGAGACATGCAGGGGACCAGATAGAGAGTTGGGGACAGTGTTTTTCCATTTTTTCTGCGTCAAGGCTCAGATTAGGGGTTGGAGGAGTTGAAGATTCGTCTGCCATCTGTGTGTGTGCTTTCCTAAATGTGAACTCATCAGTCACTTGCTGATCAATAGATCAATAGATGTTCAAAGAAAACATCTGAGGCTCTGCCTTCAGGTCAATCTGGGAGAAGCAGTAAGGGAAAATGAAATAAACCAGCCCAGAGAAAAATCTACACAGCCTAACTGGCTCATTAGGTGTGTCCGTTAACAGACCTGTAAACTCAAAACATTTGCTTTTATCAGGTATCCAGGCAAAGACTGTTACATTTTTACTTGGGAGATGAGTAAACTTAAAATCTGGAACAAACTCGGGGGTAGAGAAGAGGTCTTATGGCCTAGGTGGATACCAGAGCACACTTGCAAGTGAGGGCTTCCCGAGCCTCACACAGCCCACTCAGCCATCTGCCACATCTTGGGCAAATCTCAGCACACCCCCAGGTCTCACTCTCCTCAACTGTAAAATGGAGATCTCTTTATGAGCTCAAAGACAGAAGAAGGCCTTTCATAGCCAGGAGCTAGAAGGGAAAGCTTGGTGACTCTAGGTCAGACTCATCACGGCCTCTCCCCAACAATCTCATTTTGTGCCCATTCTTGATTTTTTTCTTTCCATGGTGTGGTTTCAGTGCTGGTCCTACAGGCAAAGCATGCCTAGGTACTAGTAACTCACTAGGTATCTCCTTGTTACCTTTTAGTGGAGGACCAGAGGACAAGGCAGAAGCAAATCCAATATGAAGAAACACTAAAGATGGCATTTCAAGCAACCATGGGTGACACACTGACAGGGCAGTGCTTTCGGGCTCAGGGGAAGCTGGTGGGAAAATTCCACTGCCCATTCTCAAGTGCCATCAGGGGGCTTCTAGAAGCAGGTCTGGAGGCTTCTGGATCTGAATGATGTATCTTCCTCACAGCAACAGGAACACAGATGTGGGCACAGCGCTCCTAGCTAACCCAGGTTGCCCCCTTACACGACCTTTGTAAGCCTCCTTTCACGGGGCCCAGATGGAAGGCTCAAAAAGGACGTGTGACCTAGGGGTCACACAGCCTCTATAGAGTTGGGGCTAGGATTCTAAACCTCAGTGGTGGGCTAAGAGTCAACTGGGGTTGGGGGAGAGGGGGAATATGAGAATAGGGAAAAGATCCTTGGTTTGGCATGAGGAGGGGAATAGAAGTGGTCCCATAAGGATGAAATTTACCTGTGATTGATTGTCCAGAAAATCTGGAAGTATCTGGAAAATAGAGGCAGCAAAAGTGCATCTAAAATGGAATCAGATGAGAGCAATGCAGAAGGCCTCTGTCCAGCTACTCCACTACAAATCACACACCTCATTTCTACCACATTTTTTTCATCTACATTAAATGGTCTGTGAGGAAGAGGAAGAGGAAGAAGAAAGGAAGGGGAGAGCTCTTCCACTTGCATAAAGGCTAGGCCTATGGCGTTTTCTAACACACAAGGCTGCTCTCCTTGGACTGAGGCCTGCGGGCTGACTGGGTACTCACAGATCTGGCAAGGAACCACAGTGTGCTATGGGCCCGACTTCAAATGGACATGGTGTGACTCAATACCTCCTTGCCTGTTTAGTTCCAAATCTGACACGGTATAATTAATAGAATAAGGAAAAGAAAAAAATCAAATCTTGAAGTTGACACAAGTTAAACTTCTAGTTACCGCAGATTTATTCCTACAGCAGTTCTAGTATTTGAAGTACTCCACATCACTGGATTTTTTTTGTGTGTGTGTGTGGGGGGGGGGGGTTGTTGTTGTTGTTGTTGTTCTGTTTTCTTTTTTCCCAGCCACAGGTAATGCTGTGCTATGATGGGGCTTGGCATCTCACCATCCCAGTTTTGCATACAAACCCAAGGATGCTGTGGTCAGGGGTCTTTTCATCAACCTCCCCTGTGTATTCGGGGGATACAGTTGATCTCTGGCCTCTGGGTGGGAGGGCAGGGTCTCTGGGGTGGATGGAGGGTTTTCTATGAAGGGTTCTCCACTTTCAGGAGCAGCCTGCTTGGGGTACTGCCTGCCCCACCCTTCCTTTAGGGGCAGACTGTTCTGGAAGGCCACGACTTCTGGAGACAGTGAGAGACTGTTTCTGGTTTTGTGTCTCTGCAGGTGAGTGGTATATTGCTTCATTCGCAGTTACTGTGGGGCCTCTAAGTTCTCCCAAGAAAGTCCCTGTAAATCCCACCAAGTAACAGTGGGAGATGTTTGGTGGCATGGGTCTGAGGTAAATCTAAGTTTCATAAAAAGAAAAAGAGGAGATCCTATATACATCTAGCATGTTTGTATGTCCAGATCTAGTATATGTATATAGATGCATAAATATATATATACACACACCTACAAACACATATGTACACATATATGCATATATGTGCACATATTTCTATACACACACATATATACGTATGTAGAGAATATCGAGAGAATAATTTTCCAGTGACGATATGCAGGAGGAGCTGGTCAGCATTTTGCCTCAATCTTAGTAAACACCGTCCTTGGGGCTGTACTTGCTCCAGCATTTCTTGGGGTGTCTGTTTGCCCACAAGCGGTGTGTGGAATTCACATGGCTGAGTGTAAGCTGCAACGAATGCCTGGACCTCCGCTCTCCACAGACACACACCCTCCCAGGCTGACCTCCTGGACTCTGCCCTCCAGGGCCAGGATCCCTGGGAAGCAAGCAGAAGCCACCAAGGCCACCCTAGATCATGGTGTGCTGCGGTGGGCCATGGGTGGTACCACTCATTCTGAAGGTCACATTGTGCCAGACTTGTCTGAGGAGTTGTTTGGGAACATCTTCTCAGTGGGTGTTACGGCTGGGCTGCCCACTCCTGAGCTGCTGCTGCTGCTGGACCGGTGCTGAACCACAGGCCGGACTGGCCGCATGGGGGGTGGACGCAGCTGGGCACCTGCCAGGCGGGCAGACAGGGCTGGCTTGAAGGTGGTCATCATCTCGGTTGAGCTGCTGCTGCTGCGGCGCATGGCTGCATCAGGGTCACGGATGACAATGGTATGCAGGGGGCTGGCTGGTTCTGAGCTGATGGGGCCTGGTGGGTTCTTTAGGGGCTCCAGGGTGTCCAGCACCACATCTGGTGCCTGCTTGACTGTGTTCTGTCTCTCGAGTTCTCGCAACTCATGCAGAGCTGTGCTCATGGTCTTCTCGATGTCCTAGGGGCAGAAAGGGCTCTAGTCAGCACAGGGTCTGTAGAGCTGCTAGTCAATTCAAGACCTTTTTGAGATTTCCCTAGAAGCCTCATTGCCCAGATGGTGATCAGGCCTCTAGGGTGTTTATACCAACTGAACAAATCAACTTGGCATCAACGTGGGCATCCCCGTTACTTGTTCTGCGAAGGAAGTTGCCTTGAGGTTATGGAGGGCAGATAGACATAAGTTCGAATCCTGATTCTGTTACTTCCTTGCTATGTGACCTTGGGAAAGTTACCACTGTGAGCCTCAGAATCCTCACTGGTAAATTACAGATAATCATAATATCTACCACAGAGGGTTAATGAGCGTATTAAGCCATCAGATTCTTAGAAAAAGCTTAGTATTTACCTGGCACATAGTAAATTCTCAGACTATTACAGTAGTGGTGATACCTAACTATGAGCACTAATTTAAGGTTGTTCCATTAATAATTCATTTAATCCTCACACAGATAAGGTAGGAGCAACCATTAGACTCATTCCACATATGAGGAAGCTGAAGCTCATACTGGTCCGGTACCTTGTCCAAGGTCACACATTTAAATAACACAGTCCACAGTCTAGCTCCAGAATCTCTGTCCCTAACCATTGTTATTTCTCTTAAAAGTCTTTCATCTTGTCTGGTTTAACTTGTGTAGGACTTGTGCATGCTGTCACCATTGCTATGAGTTCATATAAATGAATGACCAGCTGTCTGGAAGACTGTTTCCTCTTGGTCATCCACCCCCTCTGGCTCTTAGAATTTTTCTGCCTTCTTCCACAATGATGCCTGAGGGAAGTGGATAAGAAATCTCAACTCGATCTAAGGAACTTTTGGCTGCTAAGAGGAGGAAAGACTGCTAAGAGGTTGGAACTCTAGGTAGGGCCAGTGAATAGATACACAATGAAGGACATTGGGGGACACAAATCACATTATAGGCCATATCATATATATAAAAGAGTTCATTAAATTGGTCAGGGAACCAGTGGTTGGGAGGGAGAGGGAAGTGAATCTAAATGCCATCAAACTATACTGTATGAAAATCATAAAAATTCAATAAAAAATTAAGATTTAAAAGTCCTTAACTTTAACACATTGAAACTTCACATTGTATTTTACAAACTCGTACAACTGGGTGTCAGTTTCAAAAATTAAAAAAAAAATTGGACTGGAGAGATGGCTCAGTAGTTAAGAGCACTGGCTGCTCTTGCAGAGAACCCAGGTTCGGTTTCCCAGCATCCACATGGAGACTAACCACCTTCCATAACTCCAGTTCCACGGAATCTGATGCTCTTTTCTAGCCTCCATAGGCATTGCGTGACACAGGTACACTTACAGACATGCAGGCAAAATACTCATACACATAAGAATAAATTCTAAAAATTAAAATGAAAGGGAATCCTCGCCCATGGGAAAATTACTTATCTATCAGAATGCTCACAGTGTTTATCCTAGAATGAAGGGAAAGCTCTTTCCTCTCTGCAGTATGATTTTAACTTTTGCTTCTTGTTTAAAAAATAGGCAAAATTTTTAAATATTTTATGTGTATGAGTATATTCCCTGCATACATGTAAATGCACCTATGTTGTGCAATGCCTGTGGAGGTCAGAAGGTGTCAGATTCCCCTAGAACTGGAGTTACAGATGGTTGTTAGCCATCATGTGGGTGCTGGGAACTGAACCCAGGTCCTCTGCAAGAGCAACCAGTGCTCTTAACTGCTGAGCCATCTCTCCAGCCCTCCAAAAACCTAGGAAGTTTTTTAAAGAACACATAAGTCATCACCATATCTGTTGGCGTATCTAAAAAAGAACACCTCGGATGACAGAGGTATGGCCCACCAGGCAGTCTGGGCTCCTCATCCCCCAATCTAGGGCAGGGCTGAGGCTGGAAGGCAGCACTTATCCATCCAGGATTACTGTGCAAGCTGTGCAAGCACCAGCCCCTGGACTGCACTTTGTCCATTTGTGGAAAAGCCACATTTACTCTGAAGATGAGATGAGAGGGTAGACATGAGGAAGGTCTGCAAACTGCCAGACAGTGGTCTTCCAACTTCTCAGAGCTCAAGACTCCTTGCTTCATGATTTGTTAAGGGGATGCTGCCACATTCCACAGATGCCAGAGGAGCTGTTCAGGCTGAGCTGACCCAGGACCCATGGAAGGCTCAATAAAGGACATAAAACATTGCCTTGCAAGTGCCACACCCAACCTCACTGAGCAATGATGGCTATTCAGGGATGCTTGCTCTTACATAAATCCTGGGCCAACCCTGGAATAAATGCATGTCTCTGGTAAGACAGATGGGGCTGGAGCTTTGAGATGCTGTGGCAACCTCAATCCATGGTAGTTTTCAGCATCCTCTTTCTCCTGTGTCTGTAGGGAACCTCCTCCATGCCAGACTCCAATAAGGCCAGAATATGGTCTTGGGCTCTTGCTTACTTTACTGTCTCAGGCTATCCCTTTTGATTTCTTAAAGAACCCAAGGACATCCTGCTAATGACTAACGTCATATTTTATGCTTCCCTGTGATGTTTTACACATCCACTACTGCTGGAAACTCTAGGAAGGGGCCTTAGGACAATTCTTTATCCAAAGGGTCAGTTGAGTTGAGGGTGAATCTCTGCAAGGAGTCTTCTCCCTAACTGTTATTTCTGCATCCTGCAGGGTTACCCCAGTCTCAGTCACTGTGCTGGGATTTATTTTCCCTACTGTCCTCATGACTCCATCTGTTTGCTCCAATCCAGGGGAAGCTGAAAGCAAAAATGTCAGTAACTACAGTGTAAATTTCACTCATCTCCCCATCTCCAGCAGAATGTGAGTGGGAAACACAGAAAGCTCAGAGAAAGACAGGTTGGGGTGTTTAGGCTGCAGCCTTGCATTAGTCTGACAGGGGGTGCATGAGTCTGCAGGGTGAGGCTGCAGAGAGGCATTGGGGACTAAGGGACAGAGTGGGGAAGGTGGTTGCTTTCTCCTCCTAAGTGAAATCTTCCCCCTTCAGATGACAGTGTTGTACATTTCCAAAACAGCCTCTTTATCTGTGTTTCAAATCTGTATTGTTCAGGACATTTGGAGACCAGAAAATCTGGGGTGACTCTATCAACTATTTGGGATTCTCCATACCACCACCCCCCCCTTTGTCACCTGCAAAGCCAAGGGCTCAGTGGAGATGATGCTGAGCAGGTGGGTGGCTGTCCCATGTCCTCTTGGCTGTTTGCTTTCCACAAGTGCCTGTTTTACTTTCACTGATGAAAAGCACCACCCAATTATAGTATGTGGGTATTGTCACACTGATAACATGCATAACATTGCTAAGAATATTCCTTGGGTTAGGCTTACAAAACACTCCTCAAATGAAAGTCAAATGCACATCAAATGCCACAATGCACATCAATCTATTTCAAGGTTACAAAAAGTCTTACAGATAAGTCTTTCCCCAAGGATGCTATATCTACAGAACACATCCCTCACTCCACTGGCATCTCGCAGCACAGGGCTTTAAACTGCATTTGATTCTTTATGTCAAGGGCCTGGGCCAGCTTCAAGAATCCCTCCCCTAACCCCATTGTGATTTGGGGAGACTCCAGAAGATTTTGGGTGATAGAGTGACAGTTCCGAAGAGGATGGCCTTCAAAGATGGAAGACCAAATTGGCTGTCTCCTCTGTTCAACCTATGCCAAGAAACCAGTCCCAAGAACCCCTTGGGAGTAGGCATCAGCACATGAAGTAAAGGTCATGTGTGGAGTTCTAGCTGGTGGGGAGTTGCTTCTACCCAGAGTATTCTTTTCTGAGGACCTTTCCTGGACTCCTCTAAAAACATGCTCAGAAGCTCACAACCTCTCCCATCCCCTTCTAAGCAGAGATCCACAGACCATTCTTATAACAGAATTTTCATGGCCCATAAGGATCTGTTGGTCCTTGGTTGGTATGTCTTAAATGAAAGATAGTATTAAGGGAGGTACATAATGGACCCCCACCCAAAATTATAGACAGGGGAGAAAAAAGGAAAGTCCAGGGAATGTGATGGAACTGTCAAGAAGAGGCACAACCAGTTACATGAACTGGTTAACAAGGCATGGTTCTATTAATTTGGCCAGTGGAGAAATCATGAAGAGTTCTCATTCAAATAGAAAAAAAAGAAAGAAAGAAAAAAAAAACCCAGAAACAAACAGAAAACATTCTGGAAAACACTGGAACATTCTTCCATCCTGCTACAACAATTTTACTTCTGACCATCCCGTGGGTCTCAAGTCATACTCTCCCTGGGATTAAACTAGACTCTCAAAATGTTATGTACCCTCCCTCACTTCTTAAAGACACCTGGCTCCACTTCCATTCACAGCTGTGTTGTTTACCAGTCTGCAGTTCTCCTTCAACTGTAAGCTCAGGTTGGCAGAGGCAAAGTCTAGGTCAGGTCTTCACAGTACTTCATTGTGCATGGTCAATGTCACAAAACAGATCCTCAACCAAGATTCATCAATAAATGAACAGAGGAATGAATGGAAGATGGATAGATGCAAGGATGCATCCATGGATGGATGGATGGATGGATGGATGGATGGATGGATGGATGGATGGATGATTCATGGACTCGATCACATCAGCTTGTGGCAAGGCCTGCTATTGCCTCATGCTCACAATGCAGTCACCCTCTCCAGCCTGGATACGGACGTCTTCCAGTCTTTATAGAAACCCTAACCAGCGGCAGGGAAGGGAAGCCAGCTTACTGTCTTGTTTTCTAGGTCAGTCTCAAGCTCCTTTAAGGCCACTGTGGCTCCCTACTCAGCAGTCCCCACCCACCACCCTCTCCCCAGGGGTCTTGCCGGCCTGGCTATCTTCCATGGGAGGGGCCCTTACTTCTGCCAGGGCCTCAGCCTCCAGGGACTTGTGGTCCCCTAGGCTGCTGTGCCGGGTGGAGCCACAGGTTGACCTCATCGAGAGCCCTTCTGCAAGCGCCTTCTTATCGGGATAGTTGATGCTGCCAGCGCTTCCGAACGTCGCCATCCTCCTCTTCTCAGGGCTCTCGATCCGCCCCCGGCTGAGGGGTATTTTGTGGGGGCTGCTGGGGCAGGCGGCAGCCCGGGGTGGCGTGTCTATGCTGGGACCCAAGCCCCGGGGTGGGCTGTGTGTGTCGCCCCCGCTTCGGCGCCTGGGGATGGCCGCTCCGTCGGATCGTAACCGCACTCTGCAAAGGAGCCAGGGATAGGGAGCATGGGGCAGAAGTCAACCCTGGCCAGTCTCGGAATTGCACCAGCCAACCCCCATGCCACACGCTAGAGGAGCCAGCACAGTGAAGCCTCGTTCAGCCAGACTGTACAATTTGGCAATGAAAGGACCAGCTCAGACCTGAGACACCTCCCTTAAAGAGGAAGAGTAGCTGGGCCCAGGGAAGAGAGCTAAATGTGGGAGCCAGGCTGGCTGCAAGCTGCAAGTCTGGGCAGGAGGATTTCAACCTGGAAATGCTATGGTTAGCTGTAGTCACACACAGGCTAAGCTTTTCAGACACTTATATGAACCCAACCGGTTCCTATCTGGTCTGAAGCATTGAGGTTTGACTGTACCAGAAAGCCACAGTAAGCACAGGATGCCCTGGGAACCCAGCACCTCTTCATTGTTGCACCGGTCCCCACCCTCCCAAGAGCAGGTCTGTCTATGCTGCTCTCTCAGATCTTGGAAAACAAGCCATTCAAGAGTGAGCACCACATTGTGTTTGGGTACCTCTTCCACCTCCAGGGCTCTGCAGTGTAAAAAGGATGGGCCTGTGTATCAGGAGACCTTCCTCCCCTGTCTGCCGCAGCTTTCCTATGCTCTCCCCAAATCCATTCTGTGAGCCTGCTACACCGACAGAACAGCCCTCACCTGCCTTTGAGTAGGCTTGTTAAAGATCAAAGACAGTTTCATCCAATGAGGTAACCAAAGGTATGGAGGCCCTTCCAAGGAGAGGGAAGGTTGGATGTGTTTGAGGGTAGGAGGGATGCTGTGTTGGGAATTCCAAATTCCATGTGATTGACCACACTTCAGACCTTCTGCCTGCAGCAAAGCTAAGCAAGCCTGTGGGTGCTCCAATAGGGCCAAAGCACAGGGTTTGGGAGGCAGAGGCATGGGGAAAGAAAGATGAGGAAGAGGGAAGAGACGGAAGAAGGAGAGGTAGAGCGAGGGAGAAGCCATGGTCCTCCTAGGACCTGAGGAACCATGACACACTCATCTGTGGACCCCAGACTTCCACTTCCCCACCCCTACCCCTGGATTCTGTCATTAAGCAGTATCCAGAGCAGTCTGCTGAACTGAACAAACTTTGCTGAAAAGACACATCAGGCCTTCAACTGAAATGACTCCTAAGTATGCTCCCACTGTATGCTGCCACTGGTGCCTGTGTTTTGATCTGCAAAGACTCAGCTGATCACCTGACTTTCTGCAGGGGGAACAGTTCAAGGCATCTGAGTACAATGAGAAAAAGCAGAGTGAGAAACTGTCAGCGTTTTCTCTTTGCCATTCCCAGATGCCGTGTACAACTCCTTGTACAACTCCTTGCTGGCTGGTAGAAGGGTCATATGACACAGCCTAGCCCACCCATGGGAGTGAGGAAATTGACAAATCTGCTCCTGCCAACCAAGTAGGTGGAGTTGGGTGTCAACTTCCCCCAGCACATGAGTAGGTGTGAGTTCTGTTTATGTGGCTTGTTACTGTGGGAGCGTTACTTTTTTTTTTTTTTCTTTTGGAGCCTTACATTTTTAAAATATTGTGTAACCACTCCTCTTTAGCAGAAAGCTGGGAGGAGGTACAGGAGCTGGAGAGAGAAGGAAAAACACTTGCCAATCTCTCTCTCTCTCTCTCTCTCTCTCTCTCTCTCTCTCTCTCTCACTCATTTTTATTAATATGTTAATTTTGGAGATAGTCTTACTATGTAGCCCCGGTCAGACTAGAATTCATTATGTAGCCTAGGTTGGCCTATTCTTATTATTTGAAGTAAAAAGCTCAGCTGTCCTAGCACATCTTCCTCCTCCTCCTATCCCTCACTCAAAGTTGGATGACTTCATCTGTGGCATTCTTGAGACATTCCGGTCAGTCTACCCAGCTGTGTTAGGGTCACAGATTGTGGGTACGAAGGGCTGTAACAGACTCCTCCCCTTCCTGCCCTCTTGCATCTCCCAATTCAGACAAACAAATATGGCACTAGCAGGACAAAAATGAACCCACATTGCCTACCGGCCCATCACCCCCCCAAAGCCATAATCTGAGATGTGCTCCGTGGGGGACTGGAGATCATTCTTGGAGGAGGCTTTGTCATCCAGCAGGGGCCCACTGCTGGCCTCACTGTCAGCCTTTTGGCTCAGGCTGTCAGAGAAGGCATCATCCCTGGGGAGAAAGAGAGACATGAATTGGAGGTGGCTCCCATCCAGAATGGACAGGGCCCCCTCCGCAGTTCCCAGCACACACCTGTGGCTACCTGCACCAGCACTTCCTTCCCCATCCCTCCCCACCCCCCACAGAATGCTCTCAGAGTCAGTCTTCTCTAGCAGGAGGTCCTCTCGTTTCCCACTCCTGCTCCACCTTCTCCTTTTCCTAGCTTGTTCTCTCTCCTAGGCATTCTTAATGATGGAAGTAGGCTGGAGAAATAGGGGATGGAGTCTTCAAGCTGAGCACAGGGTGTTGAGTGCTGAGTCTTCTAGTACATGCTGAGTTTCCTGTGGTTCCATGCAAAGTGGTTCAGAGCTGAGCAAGGGAGGAAGAGCTTTTTCTGTCCTTTACCACCCCATCTGGGGTGCAGAACAATTGTGAAGTGGCCTGTGCTTCTTGGAGTGCCCTGCCAGCCTCCTTCTATGGACTTCTTCCAGTGACTTGTCCCTGCTGTCAGAGGCCTGGGGACTCCAGGGCTGTGGACTGTCCTACACTTCAGCACCTCTGCTCACTGGCCATCCCTCCATCTCAGTCCTTCCTCTCTCCCATCACAATATAAGCTTAGGGTTCCCTTCCTGTGAAGTTTAGCTCTTTGGCTGATTCTAGGATATATCAGAGCTGGAAGGGAATGTGAGCTCAGGAAGAACCTTCTAGAAAGTATTAACTTATTGAGCCTTCTGTCAGGCTGGATATTTGGGGTGTGGGGCTTTTTAAACCCCTTAAATTATTAAAGATAATAATATGGGAAGGCCCACGAAAATGGAGGGATATGGAGAGACTACTGGACACTAAGCACTACTGTGGGTGGCAAGTGCCCTAGATGTGACTCATGGTCTGGATGGTGGCCTGGGATGCAGCACTATCCATGTACCATCTAAAATATGAGCAACTTGAATATCTCCTCAGTAGATTGCCATTTAAATGCAAGTTAGAAAAAACCCATTCTTACAGATCAAGCATACTGTACCTTGGAAAACAAATTGCCAGCATACAATCCAGCACTCCCCTTCTGTTTCCATTCTAGACATCACTATCTAGTACCTCATTCTTCACAGAAGACCCCAGCTCTCACTCACATGTCCTGTACAACTATGTACTGATGAGGGATGAGTCCATCCACACCGTTGTGACGACCCTCCCACCAGTCCTCTGAAGCACGGTGGTACAGGAGCAGTGAGGCCCCCTTTTTGAAGGATAGCTCACGAGGGGACCGTCCCACATAGTCAAACTTGGCAATGGCCTCGATCTGCTCCACTTCTGGAAGGAAATAAAAAGAAAGAGTATCTGTGAGGTCAGCAGAGAAGTGGCCTAGGATCCTCACTCAGATGGCCTGGCCTTCTGTGGGGAAGGACAGGCAACATGCTTGGTGATAACATGTAGGCTGGGGTTTGGGACCCTAGTGTTCTACCCTCAGATCCCTCCCCACTGGGATTTCAGGCAAACCATGTAACTTCTTAAAGTGTCCAGTGTGTACCAGGCATGGATGCACAGGCCTGGAATCCCAGCATTCTGGAGACAGGAGGATGGTGAGTTTGTGACCATCTTGGCCTACACAGTGATACGTTGTCTCGTTAAAAAAAAAAAAAGTCTCCAATAGGAGTATATGCTTATTTTCCATTGCATACTTATTGAAACAAGTTTGAGCAGGCATGGTAGTGCACATCTATAATTCCAGCACTTGGGAGGTGGAGGTAGGAGAGACCAGAGGCTTGAAGGCAGCCTGAGCTACATGAAACCCTGTCTCAAAAAAACCTTGTTCATTTTTGTATATATATATATATATATATTTGAATACATTTCTTCTCTTTCTATACCTTCATACATTCCACCTCCATTTTTCTATCAGCCTTTCATCCTCTGTCCCTTTTGCATAAGTGCTGCATGCTAAATGGCTTCACCACCAGCTCTTCCCCTTTGTTCATTTACAAAATTTTTAGTGGTTCTTAAACTTCTGAGAGGTCCAACAGCTAGCATACATGCCAAATGTCATACACAGTTTTAGGGATTCCCAGAATCCTCAAAGCTCATGTAATGGACTAAACTATATCCCCTCAAAACTCTTATGTTGAAGCCCAAACCCCCAGTGATTGTATTTGGAGACAGGGTCTTCAGTTAGGGAGTTAAGGTAGTTGAAGTGGCATTAAATGAGGTCATGGTGGGGAGCCTAACCCAACAGGACTTGTGCTCTTACAAGAGGAAGAGACAGCAGAAGTCCTTCTCCGTGCAGGCATAGAGGAGAGACATGTCAAGTGCAGGCCCCTTGATCTTGGCCTTCCACTCTCTGGAACTATGAGTAAATACATTGCTATTACTCAAGCCACCCTCTGCACCCTGCTTCGACAGCTCTAGCAAATAAACATACTTATCCATGGACTTAACTGTGTGAGAGGAAGAACTCTTCTTTAGGCCACAGCTCAAACACCTGCCCACATCTAGTGAGAAACAACCCCGAAGGCTGCAATGAGCATGTGGCCTTCACCCTTGAGGCACTCCAGCTGACCAGCTCCATCACCTCTTGTGAACTCAGGCTACAGAACCTCTGTAAACCTCCATTACCTCATCTGCAAGGGTGGCTAGGCTCAACAGTGCAAGGCACAGGGAATACTCACACTAGGAATCCATCTGGGGGCAGCTTGCGTGATCATAATTACAATGATTAAGGTTTTGGCCCACAGGGTAGAAGCTGAGAAGAAATCCAAGCTGCAGATTTTCAGTGATGTGCCTAACACTATGCTGGTGATCACTAGGGGGAAGAGACTTATAGAGAAGCAGAGGGATTGTGCCTACCATTTATTTCAACTTGTATCATAGTTGATACCTTAAGAGTTGTGAATGGACTGGAGAGATGGCTCAGCAGTTAAGAGCACTGGCTGCTCTTATAGAGGACATGGGTTCAATTCCAAGCACCCACATAGCAGCTAACAACCATCTGTAATTCCAGTTCCAGGGAATCTGACACCTTCTTCTGACCTCTGAGGCCATTGCATGACACAGGTGCACTTACACACATGCAGGCAATATATTCATACACATAAAAATAATAAATAAAATTTTTTTAAAAAAGAGTTGTGCATACTTGCTAAAACATGGCCTTTGTACAGGCATTAATGTATGTGTATTTTAAAACATGTACAAAGATATCTGACATTACTTTTTAAATTTAAAAAAAATCTTTTATTATTTTATGTGTATGCTTGTATTGCCTGCATGTAGGCAAGTGCACCCATGTCATGCAATGCCCACGGAGGACAGAAGAGGCTGTTGGATCCCCTGGAACTGGAGTTACGGACAGTTGTTAGCTGCCATGTAGGTGCTGGGACTCGAACCCGGGTCTTCTGCAAGAACAGTCAGTGTTCTTAACTGCTGAGCCATCTCTCCAGCCCCTGACATTACTTTTAATTACTTTTAAACGTGGACAGAACAAAATAGTAACAAGAGACCCTACCCGGTCTAGGCTGTAGGTATCTTCCCTGTGGTGGCATGCTTGGAACTCTGTCTGCTCCATTAACTATGGATGATCTTGCATTTATCCATTTATCATCCATTATCCCATTCATCCATCCATCTGCCTGCCCACCCTTCTACCCATCACACAGTTAAGGTCAGAACGCTGTCTTTTCTACTTTCGAGAAGCTTAGTTCACCTTTCTCTTTTCAGTTTATTTGCTGAATAGAGGGAATAGCTACAGTATCTACCCCACAGGGTTAGTAGGAAGATTAAGTGAATTGATATCTATGAAATGCTTGCAATAATGCCAGAATGGTTTGCTCTAACATTTATGCCCTGTGCTTGTTATTAACTGAGGTTAGTCATTGTAAGGGCCACAGACAGTATGGAAATCAGAGCAGAGGGAAGAAACTCCCCAGAGACCCTCTCTGCAAGCAGCTGGATGGAGGAGACCCATGTTCCATGGCCACATGAGGTGTAATGGCTTTGAGATATGTCCAGTCTTAGGCATCTTGGACATTGGTGAGTAAACCAGCCTTCTGCAGGAGGGAGTCCCAGTTAAGTCACTCTCTCCAGCTGGCTCCCTGAAAAATGTCTTTAAACACTGTTCTGACACAGGTGATAGGAAGGAGAAAAAAATGACAGCACAGCAAAACTGGTCAAGTCAGTTCCTGCTTCAGTGTTTCCTTTTCAGCAAAGGATGGAACTCTGGGTGTTCATCTATGCATCTTTGAGTCTCACAGCAGCCATGTGCAGGAACAGGCCAGGAACCCATCTGTCTGTGTGGTTACATCAGAGGGCCAGAGGGTTTGCAAGACTAGGAGCCAAGTCTAGACACTGCACACTCCCTCATGTTCACCCTAGAGACTCCCTGTGACCCAGAATCTTATGGATAAAAGTGTTAACTCAAGCAGGGGTTTGCTGATGCTTAGAGGAATACCCAGGGGCTTCCTGGACCCCTTGCCTCTCCTATCTTGGGGGCCTTCAGTAGGCGATAGACCTACTGAAGGGGAGGGGAGGGGAGGGGAGTGGAAAATGTGAAAGGCAAGGAGAGTGAGCAGAGCTGGGCTGGGGCAAAAGCTGAGTGAGAGCAGGCAATGTGCAGATGCAGTTACGTAAATGTGTGGTGGGAACAGTAATAATAGCTTTGGGCTATTAGGAAGTCTGTTATTTGGGCTCCTCATGCCTGTGTTTCTCCCCCTCACCACTCTCCTACACTCTGTCACCACACTTATTCAGTTCCCGCATCACTCTCAGCTGAGGATGGAACCACTGTCCACCTGCTGGCTCAGGCCAAAGGTGTGGTGCTGTTCTTGAGCCCCACATATGGATTCTTCCAGCAACTCCTTCCAAGCAGCCCCTGAATCTGACCATCCACCACTGTTCCTCCCGCCTTACCTCTTCACTTCCATAATCTTGCTTGGGAAGTCTCTTAAAATCCTGCCAGGACTTGTAAGATAGCTCAGGAGATAAAAGTGTATACACCAAGGCTGGCAACCTGATATGGACCCCTGGAACCCACAGGGAAGGAGAAAACTAACTCTGACCTCCACACTTATGCTGTGGCACACATACCAAGAACAATGATAATGATAATAAAACAGTAAGTAAATAAATAAATAACAGAAATTTTTTTTAAAATGCTAAGTCAGATCACAAAATCCCTTGCTTGGCTTCCCATTGTTAAGAACAAAACTCTGACATGTGCATAAAGGCCTCCATTCCCTGTGCCTGGGGACCTGTGAAGCCTCACCTCCTGCCAGGCCCAGCCCTCATTCCACATGAACGTGCCTCACCAAACCTTGATGTTTCTTCTCCAGTGTCATATTATGATGCTCTTCAAACACAAAGACTGGAAGATTTTCGCAGTGAGCGTGCATCTAACCAGCAATTAATTCTACTACTCACTTTTATAGTTGTCCATCCCTTTATCTTTTGATTCCTCTCTATCCATGTATCTATCTACCCCCCATAGATCCATCCCTGTACCTATCCACCCAAAACTGTGAAATGACTAGACCTATGGGCTATCTACAGAGCATTCTATCCACCAAGAGACCACACACATTCTTTTCAATGGCACATCAAACAGTGCCCATGATATACCATAGGCTGGACCACAAAGCAGACCTCAATTATTCAAAGGGAGACAAAGCAAACTATGTTCTCCCATCATAGTAGAATGAAATTACTTATCTTTCTATAAAAGAAAGCTCTATGTGAGAAATCTGCAGCAAGAAAAAAAAATGGGAAATTGACAAATAGGCAAAAGTTAACCAGCACACTCCCGAACAACCAGTGTTTAAAGGGAAAAAATGGAAAGAGAAGTCATAAAGATGAATGAAAATAAGGACACAACACACAAAAATTCATGCCTGCAGCTAGAGCAATGCTTATGGGGAATTTGTAGTTGCAAATGACTATGTTAAGAAAAAAAAATTAAATCAATAACCCCCACCTCCACCTCACAACACTAGAAGTGTAACCAAAACTAAAAGAGAAGGAAATAATAAAGAGCAGAGCAAATTAAATGAAATGGAGAGCAGGGAAACAAAAGTCAAAGTTGTGTCTTTGAAAAAGATCAAGGAAACTAACCTTGGCTATTTAACCTTTGGCTAAACTAACCTTGGCTATTTAACCTTTGGCTAAATAACCTAAAAAACGAGAGATGATCATATTAATAAAATCAGGAATGAAAGAGGAATGTTACTATTGGTACTTTAGAGGGAAAGGAGGGTTATAAAGAAACACTATCAACAATTATACGTCAAAAAATTAGGTAAGTGAATGAAATGGGCACATTCCTATAAAAATGCAAAGTACTGAAACCAGCCCAAGAAATAGAAAATCTGGGGGCCAGTGAGATGGCTCAGCATGTAAGGGCACTTGTTGCCAAGCTTGACAATCTGAGTTTGATCCCTGGGTCCTACATGATAAAAGGAGAGAACCAAGTCCTGTAAGTTGTTCTCTGACCTCCAAGCACGTGCCATGGGATGAATAAATGCAAAAAAGTTTAATAGAAAACTTGGGGCCAGCAAATGGCTCATGGGTAAAAGTACTTGCTGCCCAAGCCTGATGACCTGAGTTCAGTTTTGTTTTGAAAAAACAAAAAAACAAAGCTGGATAGGGTAGTGCACATCAGTAATCCCAGTACGCCTGTGGTGAGATGGGAGATAGAAACAAGAGCATCTCCCAGAAGTTCACAGGTTAGCTAGCTTGAGTATGCTGCAGCAGAAACAACAAGCAAAACCTGGCCTCAGCAAGGAGAAAACTAACTCTTAAGAGTTGCCCTCTGACCTCTACATGTACCCACATCATGCATGCTTGTGGATATGCCTGCGTGCACATAAACACACACTAAATAATAATAATAATATTTTTAAAAAGTAAATAGAAAATCTGAATTGATTTACAAGAGACTAAATCAACCATTAAAGCACTATCCAGAAAGAAATGTCCAGCCCCAGATGGCTTCACTGCTAAATTCTACCAAACATTTAAAGAATAATAATTATTCACAGAGTCTTCCAAAATGTACAAGAGAGGAACACTTGACAACACATTTCATGAGGCAAGTATTATCCTAACACCAAACCTGGAAAAATACATCACTACAAAGCTACAGACTGACATTACTTATGAATATGGATGAAGATTTCTCTACAAAATATCAGCAAACTAGATGCCGTGCTATTTAATAGGAATTATGCTCCATGCCAGGGAAGAGTTTATCCTAGGAATGCAAAATTGGTTTAACATCCAAAAACCAATTAATTTAATGCACCTTATGAGTAAAATTTAAAAAAATATCACCAATTGTCTCAACAGATGAAGAAAAGCATTTGACAAAATCTAATACCTTTATAAAATAAACACTCAATAAAGTAGGAATATAAGGGAACTTCTTCAAGTTGACGAATGGCACCTCTGAAAATCTCACAGCTGAGGCTGGAGAGATGGCTCAGTACTTAAGAGATCTTAGTGTGTAATCATGAGGACAGGAGTTCAGATCCCAGTACCCATGTAACAAATCAGGTGTCTACTCATGCATGCCTGTAACCTCAGCTCTGAGGGCAGTCAGAGACAGAAGGATCACTGGGGCTTTCTGGCTTCCAAGTCTAGCCACAAAAAACGTGAGACCCAGGTTCAGAGAGAGAGATCATGCCTCAAAGAAATAATGCTAGATGAGGCCTGGTGCCCTCTTCCGGACATCATATGAGCACCAGGTGTGAGTACAAACACAGACACATTCATGCACATACACTCTCACAGAGACACATATAAATAAGTAAGTAAATCTTAAGTCAAGAAAAAACTCCTCACAGCTAATACCCAATCCAATAGTAGCTGTGAGGAGTTTTTTCTTTCTTATCAGGAGATAAGGCAAGACCAGGATCTTCATGAAGCTGGATTTATTGATCAACATATATACATAATATATATGTATATGAATATATACATATACACACATATGTGAAATTATGAGCAATAAAAGAAAAATATGGATTGGACTTCATTAAAATTAAAACCTTTGTGCTTCAAAGAATACCATTTAGAAAGTGGAAGACAAATTGCACAATGGAAGGAAATATTTGAAAGCCATATTTGAGATAAGGAACTTATTATATTTAGAATATATAAAGAGTTGTTATAACTCAATAGTTTAAAATTGTTTATTTAGTTATTTATTTTATGTGTATGAGTGTATTGCCTGCATGTATGTTACTGCACCCCAAGGAGGCCAGAAGAAGGCCTCAGATCCCCCGGAACTGGAGTTGTTAGCCACCATGTGGGTGCTGGGAACTGAACCCAGGCCTCTGCAAGAGCAGCCAGTGCTCTTAATAGCTGAGCTATCTCTCCAGTCACTAGTTTAAATTTTTTTAACTAGGTGAAAGATCTAAAGGAATCATATCTTCCTGCTGCTTTCAAGGAAATCAGAACATTTTAGAGATGCCATGAGAATCATGAACCCTTAGCACTTTGCTTACTCTGCCTAGTGGTTAACAAGGCCTGGGCCCATTTACCTAGATAGGTTTTCTGTGTAATCCAGTTTCCATGGAAACAAACCCAACTTTCTTCTCATCTGGCAGGCCTAGAGGAACCAGAAGGGTGGGTTCCACACACTTCTGCCTCTTTCCACACTTCTTATCCTCTGCACTGGGTGGGCATGCTCCTGCAGTCTGGCATCACTACTCTGCTCTTGAGGAGCTGCTTCCTGTCTGTCAAGGTCAGGTGACTGACTGGTAACTCCTTGAGGACCCACCAAGTCTCCAGTCCCAACACAGGCCTGATCCTAGCAGATCCTGGTTGTGAGAAGCAGAGGGACAGGGGCTTCTTCTTACTTATGACACTAGTCTCTGACTATCTGGTACTGACTCAGGCAGGACACACAGAGGGATGACGTGGGCCAGGTGTGGAATGTAGTAAACACAAGCATCCACCAGGATTTGCTCTGTGAGGGGCTGTGCTGGGACTCAGGACACGTGAAGGCTTTTATGGGTCCCTCTCTATTCTGAAGGGCAGTTGTGCTGCTTGGAAATCCATGAGGCTGTGAGGACCAGCCCCTCTGGATGGCACAAAGAAGCATGAGAGGCCCCTGTGAGTTTTGTGGCCCAGACCCTACCCCCTTCACCTTCATCACTGGTGTGAGGCTCCGTGCCGTTGTCATGGTCAACTTCATCGATGGTCCCTGGCTCACTGTGTGGGCTGTCACTGCAAGAAAACACAGGAAGGAGATATGCTGGGAGGGCTTTCTGAGTACTCTCTCAGAAACCCCTAGTTCTGGAACTGGGGTGTCTAAGGCTTGACTCTGTCACCCACATGTGTTGGAAACTTCATCCCCAATACCACAGTGTTGGGAGGTGGGACCTAAGCAGAGGTGATTAGGTCATGAGGGCTGTGTGGGCACAAATGGATTAATGTCATTATAATGGGAATGGATTAGTTATCATGAGAATGGATTATATTAAAAGTGAGTTGAACCGAACCCACGCTTGCTATCTCATTCTTGTACTTTCTTTCTCTTCTGCCTTCCACCATGGGATGCTGCTGCCTGAAGGCCCTTGCCACATGTGGCACACCTCCTAGCTTCCAGAACCTTAAGCCATATAGATTTCAGTTCATTATAAATGACCAGGTCTATGGCATTATGCTATAGTAGCAGAAGTGGGCTGAGATGCCTGTATGTTCAGTAAGATCCAGATGGCAGCAGTAAAACCCCAGAGTTCATCATCATAAGGATCACAGGCCAGAACAGAAACAATCCTTTGAAGTACTAAGCATTACTTCATCTACCCTCACCCCTTAACCCTCTTGTCCCATAGCCAAAGTGAACATCCCATCAGGCAAGAGAAGCTGATGAGGGCTGCTCCATGACTCCATGTGGACACATTCAGATCAGTGCAGATGGTAAGCTCAGGCTCGCAGCCATGATGAGCATGGTGCATGAGTCTGCAGCTTCCTGCTAGATCACAAGCCTCTTGAGGCCAGGATTCCTCACATTGATTTTGCCTCGAGTTTTTCATCGAGGTATTGAGTGGGTTCTAATACAAGCCATTGTGCTAAGTAGGAGGGACACAATGACAGGTCAAGTACATCAAGGCCTCTGTCCTCATTGCTCACATTCTAGGGAAAGAAAAAAGCCCAAGTGAAGAGACCAGTGCATAAAAGAATTGCCAGATGCAACTCTGAACTAGGAAAGAAACAATCTGAGATGAGAGCAGCACAGGGACCAACACAGGGTGGTGGTCTGGATGGTTTTTCAGAGGAGATGACATTTACAGTGCCATCAAAAAGAGTAAGGGCTTAGGGCTGGAGATGCAACTCAGTTGGCAGAGTGCTTGCCTAGCATGTATGAAGACCTGGGTTTCATCTCTGCACCACATAAACCGGGCATGGTGGCACATGCTTATAATCCAAGCTCTGAGCAGGTAGTCAGGAGGATCAGTAGTTCAAGGTCATCCTCAGCTACATAATGAGTTTGAGGCCAGCCTGGGCTGTCTTAAAAAGAACCAAAAGGAAATGTGGATTTTACTGTGAAAAAAATCCCCACTGCTACCTGGATTAGGTCCAGAACCAATGGCTTCCAAGCTTTTCAGAACTGGGCTCTAGCTGACCCATGGAGCCTAGTACCTCACCACTCCCTTGTCACACACCCTGCCCCAGAAAACTGAGCCACTTTTCATTCTGTTGAGTGATTCAGGCTAGGACTTGGTCAGGTCCCCCGAGGGCTGGCCCCAGTTTAAGCTGCTGGCCCAGCTCATTCTTTACTTCCTTAGGAAGCCTTTCCTGATGGCCTGAGATTGACACAAGGGCCCCTTTTAGAACTGCTTGTTTTCTATTCTCTTAGCACTCCTGCCACTGGAACCAATCTTGCTCAGGCATCATCTCTGCCACCCAGGAATCCAGTCCCCTGCGGATACATGGATGCTCAGAAGCCACGTGCTGAGTGGATGGATTTTATCCACTATGCTGAGACTCTTAGTCTCATTTCCCTTTTGGGATTTGAAAACACCTCCAAAATGATCGTGTGATTATTAATTTTCCAGTCTCATGGGAATGAATGGTAAATAATAAAAGCATAAAAGTGTGGTGACTGTATATTGTTTTATGGTGAGATCTAAGATCTGTGGGTCCTGTCTCAGAATGCTGATTATATATACCAAGATACCATAGCAAAAAAACAGAAGTCACCTTTGATTTCAACATTTGGGAGGCAGAGGCAAGCAGATCTCTGTCATTTGGTGGCCAGCTTGATCTACATAGTGAGTCCCAGCCCAACTAGGGCTACACAGTGAGACTCTGTCTCAAAAAGAAAGAACAAAAGGAAGGGAGGGAAGGAGGGAGGGAGGGAAGGAGGGAG